AAATTGTTCAATTAATTCTTCTTCGCCTGACATTAATTTCTTAAGAACAAAAAAAAGAATAGTTAATTAAATATTCTACTAAAAATTAAGTCCTTCTCTCTGAAAAAAGTCAATTTTCGTTAGAATTATCGAAATTAAGATAAATACATCGAAGAATAGCTCGAGGCCTAATCTTTCATAGATGACATGATTTTTTATTCAGCACCTACTTTTTTTGAGAAGGTTTTTGATAGTTTATGTCATCATCTGCTTGAAAAAAACTTGTTCGGGTAGCCCATTTGAGGCTAAAATATGGAACTCACATACATTTCCGTACATTCAACGTTGCCTCACTATTAGTAGTGCCCATATTAGTACCGCAAGCGTATACACCCTACATTTTTTTTGACCATTTCTGATTCTCGAAGAGGGAACAACCAATCCGCATGAATTTTTTACCACAGATAGAATACCTAAATTAACGAAGTACACATTCGAGGAAAAATTTTAAACTAGGATTTTGCAGATTTTTTTTTTGAAAAAAACCTGGTGTTCATAGAACCACATCGAGCCGGCCTACGATCTCCGCGTAACTTTGTCCGATCGAAATGAAAATGTTTTTTCGATCGACAAAGCTAGTCGGAGGTCGTCAACCAGCTCGATTTAGTCCTATGAAAATCAGGATTTTCCAGAAAAAAAATTGCAAAAACCTTGTTTAAAAAAGTTTTAAACCTAGAATGAACAAAAACAATACGGTGCAATATCCTTAACTCTACACTTTTCCTTTTACTTGCTTCTCTGTTTAATCTTAAAATTTCAACTAATGTTATTCGCTATGCCAACCTCTTATTTTTGCCTGCGTAACTGCGAGTGACAGCAATACTAAAAAGACTGATGTACGTGTGCAGTTACTATGGAAATTTACTTAATGATCTTCAACTCTAATTGCTAAGGTCTGTAATGAAGGAGGGGAAGGGTGCTGTGAAACTTCGATTTACAACTCATATTCACCATTTTCTTCAAACATATACATGAGGTCCACAATATGCTTTTTTTTCAGAGAGAGTTTTTCAGGACATTGAACTTTTTATTCCTTTTCTCCTCTTAAAAAGTAAGAATTTAACAAAACAGAGCTCTGTCATGTCAGGTATCCTGACATGCTCTTTCAAACAGAAAAAATTAAGTATATAGAATGAACACTCAAAGAGAATTTTGGGTTACTAAATGAGCTATGTTTGATCCTTGTTTGTTGACTATCTCCCGAAAATGTCATGGTATAAGACTGAAAATTTTGCCATAGTCTCTCCATTACAGCCTCAACATATCTGAAAACCTACCGGATAAGGGTCGAAATCTGCCACCCCGTGCAACAAAGTTACATTCATGTTTTTCTAAAAGACTGTATATTATTTAGAGTCCTACCAAAGTATGAAGTTCACTGCCTTAACCCCATCTCATGGACTGTTTTTTATTCTTGCTCTGTCCTATCCTACCTCATACTGGGAGACTCATACCCTAGCACTACAATACACTCTAAAAAAAGATGTTCGTTTACCGAACTTGTGTCCGAGGAAAGAATATTTCTGGTTGTGTAAGAAACTTCTCTATGTCTTGTGCTTCAATGTACTAATTGTCAAGGTTTTTTAAGTTGAGCAACAGAGTATGAAATCAAAAAATACCGCTTTCTTGGACACAGGTTGGTAAAAGAACATCTTTTTTTTAATAGTGTATTGTAGTACTAGGATAGGAGTCTCACAGAATGGGGTAGAATAGGACAGACCAAGGGTAAAAAACAGTTCGTGAGATGGAACTAAAGTAGTGAACTTCATATTTTGGTAGGACTACAAATAATATACAGCCTTTTAGAAAAACATGAATGTAATTTTGTTGCACGAGGTGGCAGATTTGGACCCTTATCCGACAGGATCCTTTCATGCAATTTGAATGTACCTAATCTAAGATCAATTTTTGAGGGGTGGAAATCTTAAAAGAACTTACATAAGGTATAATTAGTTTTTGTATTTGATCATTAATAATTTGTCCATTATATGAAAGAATAATTTTACCACCAGTTACACTATGATAATCATTAACAATAACATCATATTCATTTTCACTGAGTAGATTAATACATTGAGCTATAATACTAGATGGTATTAAATCATTTGAATTTGATACACCATCAAGATGACACATTATAGAACAAATCGATTCCATATAAAATTCATTTGGTAAACGACGAATATGTGTTGGTTTGATTTGCACGGGAATTACCATGCCCCAATCCAAATAGATGACAGTTGCTGTTGATAAATCTTCTGAAATTTGTAAAATACGACAACGAAACCAACGACCTTCATGAAAACATGCACATATTTTATTTATTGCTGGTCTATTAAAGTCAATTATTTGAAGTTATAATACAAACAACAGCTAGAAGAAAATACTTACTTAAAAGGATGACTAGGTATATAATCTGTTTGAAGTTCTGGATGTATTGACATTGTATGAAGGAGACAACAAGCTCTATTAAAATCTTCATGTAACATAAGCTATAAAAAAATGCATATTATTTATAAGAAAACAAAGAAAAATTTCATTTACATTAACAATTGATGGACTTTGTGGATGAGATATATGAACTTTCGTTAATTTTTGTCCACGTTCTAATGTTTTATGTTTTGGTATATCGATTAGAATAGGTTGAGATTTAATTTTTTTTTGTCGACTAATTATATTCGATGATAAATTTTGTATAGAATTAATTGGTTGAAATGCAGATGATGATGTTTGCTTTAAAAATGATGTTGTTGATTGTTGATTTGATTTTAATATGGAATTAGTTTGAAAATCATCAATAATCTTATTATTTACTTTTTTTGTTGATGAATTTGATAATAAATATGTTGATATTGATCGAGTTGGATCAGCTTGAGCAATGATTGCTGTTGGACGTGTTAATATATCAGCAGGAGGCATTGTTGTTAATAAAGCTGGTGGTGCAAATTGTTCACCTATTTGTTGAGATTCTTGAAAAGAAAAACAAAATTATTTTTTTATT